GGCACAAGGCCTCCATGCACACTGTCGTGTATAATCCACACAACAACACTATTTAATATAAAAAGAAATGGGCTCACCAGGTAAATACAACGTTGCCAGTTAACTATAAAGAAATGAAGCTAATTCTCTTTGGACTACTTACTAATCAAAGGATGTGCATCGGAGTGGGCCAAGGAGCCCCCCATTGAGAGTACTGAGCACGCAGATGGGCACAAGGCCTCCATGCACACTGTCGTGTATAATCCACACAACAACACTATTTAATATAAAAAGAAATGGGCTCACCAGGTAAATACAACGTTGCCAGTTAACTATAAAGAAATGAAGCTAATTCTCTTTGGACTACTTACTAATCAAAGGATGTGCATCGGAGTGGGCCAAGGAGCCCCCCATTGAGAGTACTGAGCACGCAGATGAGCACCAGAGCTGCGGCCGCCCCTTTCCTGCTTCCCCCACCGATCTTCCTTGCCTCTCCTTCCCCCCTCCATGCATCCCCTCCGCCAGAGGCACCTAAGCCACACGGCAAAAAAGGCTTCCAAGCTCTTGGCCGAAAAGAGAAATGCACGTCACACTAATGAGCTGATGTAATGAAATCTCTTCTGTGGACAAGAGCTTATCTTATCTTCTAGTTAAAATCAACCACAGGAAAAAGCTAAAGAGGGTAAGTTTGTATGAAAATGATATCCAACTATTCACAGCAAGCCTCCAGAGCAAGGGCAAAAAGCAGTGAAGGAAATAGTTTTTATGCCAAAACATATGAAATACTGCCATGAAGCATCATCGATGAGGCAGGCACAGCACGTCTCCTAAAGAGACGCAGACAGCGTGTCCGTTCTTTACACAGCATGTGTCCCAGCAAAGGGACTGCCTGTAAATTCATGAAACCCTCCCGTGAGCCATCTTAATGCTCTCTCCCTTCTCCCAGCAACCTCAATGACCAGCTGTACCTCCAAGAGCCTCCTGGACCCAGCAGACGAACTCCTGGCTCAGGGACAGCTCAAGGAGACACTGGCACCGGGTCTCACTGATGTCCTGCAGCAGCTTTTTGGCGTGGATCAGCTGCTCGCTGATCTGGTCCAGCTTCTCGTGACAACAGTCGTCGAAGTTGTCAGTCTGCAAGACAGAGCTCTACTGTGGGCTGAACCCGGTTACCTGGAACCCTGGAGTCCAAGCAGTGGCGCCGACCCTCGCAAAGGCCTCAGTCTGCCCTTCTTGGACTTGAAGCAGCTAAAGGCAGGTGCATGAAGCTCCTGACCAGAAGCTGGGACACTAGAGCCCTCCCTGCCATCGCCCCATCGATCCATAATAACTACTAATCCTCTGTACCCGGCCCTCCACGAAGCCACTTACACAAGAACTCTGCCAGGTGCACATCGTTACTTTTCCTGTTTTATGGGTAAAGAAATTAAGGCCCAGAGCAGTGACCTATTTGAGAACACGCTGCTGGGAGCCAAGGCTAAGTGTGCATAATTCCAAATTTTGTGCTTAATTTTCATCATCTTTGTGTCTCTGTCGTACCACAGATCATGGGGTGCCTTGTAAATGCCCGCCTGAAGAAACACAAAACAAAGCACCTGCTTCTTCAGCACAGCAGACATGGCTCACCGTGCACCACCCCTTGCCAGCCCTGGCAGATGTGCACAGAGAGGGGACCAGAACAAACCCTTCTTTTGCCTCTCCACACTCTAACCTGATGAGACCAGATGACCCTTTCCTGATGCCTGGCTACCAAAAGAGGGTCACTGCCCATTCCCAAATTCTCAACTCTCATGCCAACCTGAGAAAATGTGCACTTGCCAGGAGCACTCACACCATTTATAACCAGGTGAGAATGAAGCCCTGGGCATGATCAGGCGTCAGGTGAAATGCAAACAAGAATTCCTGGGGGAGGCTGTGAAACCATCCTGTCTGGCTTCCAGAACCCGGAGAGCCCATGGGAGCTCCCACCCCCACCCTATGGGTCCCTGGTAAATAACTTACAAAGTTTAACAAAGTGTGCAGAACACTGAAGTCACCGGTCAGGCCCAAATTCTCCTTGACCTTCAAGATGGCCTTGGCCGAGCTGACAGCCTGGTGCAGGTGATGGTACTCCCTGATCTGCCCAACTCGACAGCTGATCCAGTCCCCTTGGTCGCTGGGGTCCAGGACACACATAGTCTGGAGGTTGTCGGTGAGCTGGCTATACTTATTCACAAAATCCTTGAATATGGTGTCAACCTCCTGAAAGGTGATCTCTCCTGACCTCAGATCCTCATACAGTTTCATCAACTTCTCGAGACAAGGGAGATACAGATATGTATATGCCTCGTCAGCCTGAAGAATCTGCCTTTCCAGCTCCTCCTCAGGCTCGCTCAGCATTTCTGCCGCGTCTTCCCAGAAGACCTGGAAGATGTGGCTCTTCTTAAGCCGGTGTACCTTTTCAGCCATCTCTTGGACTTGGGGGCTCAGGTCGTAATGTGTTGCCTTCTTCACATCCGGGGATCTGAGTGACAACCTCACTGTCACGGCATCACTCAGTCTTTTACTGCTGAGATCTTCTAAGTGTCTTTCCGCCATCTCTTCCAGATCCACTTTGAAACCATAAAGGAAAGTCAGAAGTCAAACCTCTACTCACCACACCATTTTATTTTATTTTACCCATATTTACTGTCCTCCTCACTGCTCCTAAGAAAACTCACACAAACACATTTGCTGGCATTTTTCCTCACTAAGAACCCATTTGTCTCCCTGCCAAACCCCACCCCACTCCCAGTTTGCTCATGAATTTTCACAACAAAGCAAGCATGGTCTTTCCTGGGCAGGGATGACAGTGTGGACGTTGCCTGCTTCACTCCCTCCCCACATCCTGCACTCCAGGGCCAGAACAGACATGGCCTTGGAAAAGTCATAAACCGGCTGGGCTGGGAGGAGCAGAAAATGAGATGACAGCCAGAGCAGGGAAGGAGTCGTAAAGCAGATGTGCAGCAGTGGTGAAGGTCAGGCTGGGCCCCAGGGCATGGAACCCCAGTCCACAGCGGGGAGGCCAGGAGTCAGCCAGCCTCCTGCCACAGGATTTCCAGCAACATATACACTGGTCTTACGGCCGCTGGAGGTGGGGAGCTGATGAGAAGTGAGAAGGTCTGGCCTGAAAGGCTGGAGAAGAGGTCCAACTTTCTTGCCCACCCCATTCTAGATAGCAGGCTGGCCGCTGCTTCCACCCCAGCAAGTGACATATGCTAATGTGGAAGGCGCTCTGTGGCCACCAAGCTGGGGACCGCAGGGCTGGCCAGCCCCAGAGAAGACCTAACGTGTGTCCACCACAGGACCAGCTGCACCACCCTAAGGGTCTTCCATGGGTTTGCTGGGCACCCCTCTCCATACAGAGAGCAAAGTAATTCCCAGACATATGTGGTAAATCTTTCATGTGAAAGACAGACATGAAAACATAGCAACATAAAGAAGGCTTGGAGGAAACAGGAAGCTCTGGGAGTAAAAGACAAGGAAAACCTCTAGGAGTGCCTGGGTGCCTCAGTCAGTTGAGTTCCAACTCTTGGTTTCCGCTCCCGTCATGACCTCAGAGTCCTGAGATCGAGCTGCCCATGGGCTCCACACGCAGCAGGCGTGCTTGGGATCCTCTCTTTCTCCCTCTGCTCCCCGCCGCTCGCTCCCTCTCAAACAAATGAATAAATCTTAAAAAGAAGAAGAAAAAGAACGACGACGACAAGGAAGACCTCTAAACCAAAATCGTCAATAATCTCAGAAAAGCAAGACACTAAAGTTGTGAACAAGAAGAGCAGGGTAGTAGAAAGAAAGGTCATTCAGAGAAAAATCTTTTCCCATAAATCAAATAATCGTGTGAAGTGAAATGAAAAACACAATGCAAGGGTTGATGGTCATGTTGTAGAAATCTCTCCAAAAGCAGGGAGGAAACCACAAAGAGACAGGCAACAGAAGAGGAAGTTTAGGGAAGTTTGATGGCCATCCTGTGAGATCAAGCACCCAACGATGTCCATTTTCCTGAGAGAAAAACTAACCACTTAAATAACTCAGGAGAATTGCCCAGGAGTCAAGAATGTGGATTTCTGGACCAGAAAGACCCACCCGTTATGCGCAATGTGGTAGACGGAAACCAACCCTGACCAAGGCACATCATTATGAACCTGCAGAAGAGTGGGGCCAAAAAGATCTGGAGAGCCTCCAGAGAGAGTAAGCATGAAACACATAGGATCAATAGTGAGATTCACATCTGAATTCTCAACAGTGACCAGGACGGTGCAGGAACACAACCGAGATCCTACAGGATTTCTGCTGTGTAATTCCACCTGGCCAACAGTTACCCTGGTGCAAGGGCAGACATCCTCAAATGTACAAGGATTCGAGATGTGTTTCCTCTCTCCGGGGTGAGCAGGGAACAGAGAACTCGTTCGACTAGAACGCAGACATGAGAGACAGGGGAATCACAGGGTCTGGGAAATAGATCTAACTTGGGAGAGACATAAAGGAAACCCCTAAGATGGCGAAAGAAGATTCTAGAATTACAGCCCTGCAGTCTGGGGAGAATCCTTCCAGAAGATCTAACTGATTGCTTTGTGAGGAAACTCAGACAGTTGGTAAAGAGCCCAGGGTTGAATGAAAACAAATACACTGAAAACAAAGCACAGGAGAAAATGAGAATTTTAACTCTAGAGACAACAAAGCTGGTGCAAGAAATATAAAACAATGTTGGTCTATTTCACAGCTTGGTTGTGAACAGTGTATTTACACAGATGTGATCATAGAACCCCGAGTGGTGATCTCATTGAAATCCTGACGGGACTAGGAACAGAGGGAGGCTGGAATGGGTGCGTCTGAGTACAGGGCCTGGAGAAACAGAGAGCCAGTCCTCCTGTTCCACAGGGGCTGATGCTTCAGCCTGAATGGTGAAGGGGGTGTCTAAGCACACCATGTGGAAGCACGGGGATAAATCCCAAAAAGAATTAAGGAGGCGTGTGGGCCTTGCCTCCCCTGAGGCTGCTGTGGGACTCGTGTTTACTCTCCGCCCCTCTGACCCCTCTCCCCAAGGGTCCCACCAATGTCATTTGTGTTAACACTTAGGAGTATCACCTTTTATCAGATGTTTCACCTGCTCACACAACCTCAGGAGACTGTCCACGTATTCCTTCTCTCTCTTCAGAAATTCCAGCTCATCCTTTCTCCAGCCCAGCACCTCCCTCACGTCATGCTTTTTCTCTTGGGGTAAAAGATCTTTTCTCTCTGAAAGAAAAAAGTAACTCAACAGAACAAACAAGCAGAGCCTTTTCCTTGCAACTGTCTCCTCCACGTCCCTTTGAAGATGCTCCACGTTCACGGCTACAGGGAGGGACATGGGGGCTGTGTGCACAGCTACACGGGAAAGATGCCTACGAGCTCTGCTGCGTGGAGAGAGACAGGGCGGGTCTTACTAAGTCACCATTTTATCACTTTCCCATTGTTTTCCGGAGGCTTAGAAACATTCCCTCCCCACTTACTGACAGGAAGAGCCACTCATTGTAAAGATGACAAGGGTCGCCCCCACAAAATACATGGGCAAGTGCAATCACTGGCCACTAACCAGAAGCCCAGACCCCACCCAGGTACTCACTTATCTGCCAGATGTCCAGAAACTGATCTGAGTTCTCCGTGATGAGCTCCAGGTGCCCAATTAAAATGGTGCCATTCAGAAGGTCCTCACTGACTTTTGTGAACACAGAGTCGGCAATAGCCAACAGCTTCTTGGCGTCCTCAGTAACACTGGCTAATACCTTCTCATCAGTTCCTGAGCAGGTGGAGAACAAAGTTAAAACAGTGGACGCCCGCTTCTCCTCCCAACTCTACGAAGCACGGGGGTCCCCAACAGCCTCCTCATTGACCTGCCCCCACGTCCACAAAGGACAAGTGAAGGTCATTCTGTGTCTCCAGATGTGCTTCTGCCTTCACCCAATTCTGCTTCTGCCTGGAAGGCTTCCCAAATGACCTTGCTCATGAAGAAGATTCCTCCCATGGTGGCAATCAGCCAGGAGAGCCGCGTTGCTCTGGGTTTTAAAACGTGGGCCCCTTCAGTATGCTAATATCATTCTTAAACCACTGTCTCCTCCACGTGCCCCCATCTTGAGAATCCATCCAGGGGAAGAGTGGCTGTACTCGCACCCAGCAAGGGTGACCCAGATGGTTTTAAAGGAGTATTTTCATAGCATATGGAAACAGAGATACATCAATGTGAGGATTTGATTCTAGGCACATCTTGGCTTTCTTGCAAAATATTGAATTTGAATTTTAAGATCAATCTAGAAAACATAATTTTTAAATATATTTAATTCAACCACCAGAGTCCTTCCCTCCCACTAATTTTAGGGTTGTATGGCATGATGAGAAGACCAGATTTCTCTGTGCCATTAAAAGCACATGTAGCAACTTTGTTCAGAATTGAAAATTCTTGGAAGCAGCACCAAGATGTCCTATAGTAGATGAACGGACAAACTGTGATCCATCCAGACTATGGAATATTATTTGGTGATAAAAACAAAGATGCCGGCGGAGGAGTAGCAAGCTGAGATGACATCAGGTAGCAGGAAATCGAGCTAGTTTATCAAACCATTCTGAACACCTACAAAGCCAACAAGAGACAGAAGAGCAGAAGAGCAGCAATTCTAGAAACAGAAAATTGACACTTTCTGAAAGGTAGGACCGGCGGAGAAATGAATCCAAAGTGACAGGAAGATAGACCACAGGAGGAGGGACCGGCTCCCAGCAAGCAGCGGAGCAAAGCAGCACAAAATCAGAACTTTTTAAAAGTCTGCTCCACTGAGGGACATCGCTCCAGAGTCTAAGCCAGATTTAAGCCCACGTGTGCACAGCGTGGTCTCAGGCCCCGCAGAGTCACAGAAGGATCAGGGGTGTCTGAGAGCCGCAGAGCTCGCAGGTATTAGAGTGGGGAAGCTGGCTGTGGAGACAGAACCGAGGAGTGAGCTCTCAGCTTGAGGTTATCTTAAACTGTGATCCATGGTACCGTCAAGCCACTGCTCCTTGAGCAGGGACCCCACAAGTGGCAGATCCGGGGATACCCCCCTGGAAGATCAGCAGGGATCTGCTGGGTTTGGAGACTCCAGGAAGGGCTGTGTGCCAGAGACAGAGACGCTTGGTCATGGGCTATGTGAACTTGGAGCGCAGCCGGAGGCCAGGGAGACGGGAGTGATTGAGCGCTTTCCTCTGCGGGTGCACTGAGAAGTGGGGCCCCAAGCTCTCGGCTCCTCAGGGCCAGAGATTGGGAGGCCTCCACTTTCATTCCAGTCCTCCGGAGCTGAGCTCTCCAGGAAGCGTTCAGGGAACAAAAGCGAACCCGAGCGGATTACTTAGCCCGGCCCCTGGCAAGGGTGGCACAATTCCGCCTCGAGCAAAGACACTTGAGAATCACTACAACAGGGCCCTGCCCCAGAAGATCAGCAAGAAATCCAGCCAAGACCAAGTTCACTTATCAAGAACAGCGGAATTCCAGAGGAGGAGAAAGCAAAGCATGGAATTCATGGCTTTCTCCCCATGATTCTTTAGTCTTACAAAGTTAATTAATTTTAAAAAATTTTTTTTTCTTATTCTAACCTTTTTTAACTTTTACTCTTTCCTCTTTTAACATTTTTTAACTAGTTTATCTTAACAATACCTTTCATTAAAAAAATCTTTTTGAAAGCTCATTATTATAATCATATTTTATTACTCATTATATCTAACTTTTTTTTTTTTAAGATTTTATTTATTTATTTGACAGAGAGATCACAAGCAGGCAGAGAGGCAGGCAGAGAGAGAGGAAGAAGCAGGCTCCCCTTAGAGAGCAGAGAGCCCGATGTGGGGCTCAATCCCAGGACTCTGAGATCATGACCTGAGCCGAAGGCAGCGGCTTAACCCACTGAGCCACCCAGGCGCCCCCTTTTTTCTTTTTTTTTTTAAGATTTTATTTATTTATTTGACAGAGAGATCACAAGCAGGCAGAGAGGCAGGCAGAGAGAGAGGAAGAAGCATATATCTAACTTTATTTTTTGTATACACATAGGGTTTTTTCTTCTAAAAAAATTTGGGACACAACTTCTTCTAATAGATCAAAATATACCCTAAATCTAGCACAGGGCTTTGTTCTAGTCAACAGCCTGAGCAAATTCTCCCCACTTTTTTTATTTAAAGATTTTATTTATTTATTTGACTGACAGAGATCACAAGTTGGCAGAGAGGCAGGCCGAGAGAAGGGGGGGAACGTAGGCTCCCCAAAGAGCAGAGAGCCCGATGCGGGGCTCCATCCCAGGACCCTGAGATCATGACCTGAGCCAAAGGCAGAGGCGCAACACACTGCGCCACCCAGGCGCCCCCTCCCCACTTTGTTTTTCTTTCTTTTCCCAACCAACTTATATATATACACACGCATACATATATATACATATATATACACATACATACACATATGTGTGTGTGTGTGTGTGTGTGTGTGTTTCTTTCTTTAAAATTTTGACAGGTACTTTCTTCTAAGAAACCAAAATACCAAAATTAAGTGGGTGGCTCTGTTCTATTCACCTGTCTAATATATACATTTTCTTTTTTAATTTTTTTTTCATTTTTTTCTTTTTGTTATTTATTTATTTTTTTTTTCTGATCTTCTTTTTACCCCTCTTCTTCCCTCCACGATTTGGGGTCTCTTCTGATTTGGTTAACTCACATTTTCCTGGAGTCTTTGCCACCCTTTTAGTATTTTATTCTCTCCTTCATATATTCTTATCTGGATAAAATGACAAGGCGGAAAAACTCACCACAAAAAAAAGAACAAGAGGCAGTACCGAAGGCTAGGGACCTAATCAATATGGACATTGGTAATATGTCAGATCTAGAGTTCAGAATGACGATTCTCAAGGTGCTAGCTAGGCTCCAAAAAGGCATGGAAGATATTAGAGAAACCCTGTCTGGAGAAATAAAAGCCCTTTCTGGAGAAATAAAATAACTAAAATCTAAGCAAGCTTAAATCAAGAAAACTATTAATGAGGTGCAATAAAAAATGGAGGCTCTCGGGGAGCCTGGGTGGCTCAGTGGGTTAAGCCTCTGCCTTCAGCACAGGTCATGATCTCAGGGTCCTGGGATCGAGCCCCACATCGGGCTCTCTGCTTGGCGGGGAGCCTGCTTCCCCCTCTCTCTCTGCCTGCCTCTCTGCCTACTTGTGATCTCTCTCTCTCTCTCTC